CAGTTCCTGTTGGTGAAAATGTACATTCATGATGGAATTCAGTATGGAGATTCCTCTCAAAAACAAAATATAAGAACTATGGGAGAGGGCTGGGAAGGTAGCTCAGTGGTAGAGCACTTGCCTTGCACGCATGAGGCCCTGGGTTCAATTCCTCAGCACCACATAAGCAGAAAAAAAAGCCGGAAGTGGCGCTGTGGCTCAAGTGGTAGAGCGCTAGCCTTGAGCTGAATAGCTGAGGGACAGCCCCCAGGCTGAGTTCAGGCCCCACGACCAGACCCAAAAAAAAAAAAAAAGAATTATGGGAGGGAAGGGATGGTAGGGGGAAAACAAAGGCAGAGGCAACAATGCTTGCTAAGAAATGTACTCATTATCTTGCTCGTGTAACTATAACCCCTCTGTACAGTATTTTCACAATTAAAAACATTAAAAAAAAGAACTAGCCAGTCAGCCACCGGTGGCTCATACCTGTAATCCTAGCTACTCAGGAGGCTGAGATCTGAGGATCACAGTTCAAAGCCAACCCGGGCAGGAAAGTCCGTGCGACATTTATCTTCCAATTTAACCACCAGAAGACTGAAAGTGGTGCTGTGGCTCAAGGGTAGAGCACTTGCCATGAGCTGAAGAGCCCAGGGACATCCAAGCCCAGAGTTCAAGACCCACAACCAACCAAAAAAAAAAAAAAAAAGAACTACCCTGTATCTAGCAGTACCTCCTGTAGGCATTTATCCAAATGATTACAATTCAGGACATAGGTTGTTGTATAACAGCCCAAATGTCCTACAACTAATCAGCAGGTCCAGAAAATATGGTATTCTATGCACACTGAAAGTTTTATTTATCCATCAGAAAGAATAATCTTTACAAGGAAGGGGTAGATCTGTAATTATGTGAAGTGAAGTAAGTTGAGCTCAGAGAGACAAGGTGAACATATTTATTCTCCTATGTGGAGTTAGAACTGAAATATAAACATAAAAACATACAGTGGGCTACACGTATGTATATGTATACGATCAAACTGATTCAAGTATGGTTTATTCAGGGGTGCTTTCCCATACTGTACCTCCTTGGAACAACTGGCTGATCATTTCACAAAATGAATATGAGAAGACTAAAACGTGTTTTGCTTATAGGGGTTAAGGGAGAATGGAGAGAGGAATGGTGGGTGAGGACAGCCATAATACTCCCTTGTACGGATATGATCATGGAACTGGGAGGTTTGAGGCTTGATGGAGATGCATTGTACACATAAATCTGCACGTTCCATTGAAACACATTTGTACAACTTTTTGAAGATAATTTAAACCTTTTCATGTTAATTTTTTTTAAGAATGGCTGAGCCTCTCCACAGAAGCACAGGCTGTAAGTTCCTCACCGAAACCCACAAATTTGCCCAATTACTCTATTTCCCAACCGAGGGGAAAATTTCATTGTGTTTCTCTGAAACACAATAAAACACAGAGCAAGTTCTTCATGGCGGAACCTAAGTCACCCCTCTTATTTGACTTGCAACAACAGATTAAGGTTTGGGTGGTGGAGAGATTGGTCTGGTTCTGTTAAAAAATAAAGATGGAAGCTAAATAAAGATAATTAATCTGTGAGTGCCACCTTGTGGACAGATCTGCAACCACCCTATCAGTTTGGAAGCTCTCAATCTTTGTTCACCGAACAGCTCTTATTCAGTGACAGTGGAAATACAGCAATACACAGGCAAAAATCCTCGGCTTCAAGCCACTTCCTTTGTGAGGCTAAAAAAAGCAAATAAACAAGATCAACACACGAAACACATAATATATCCAAGGATGACCAGTGGAAATGGAGAAAAAGCAAAGCAGCGCTAAGTCAGGGCATAAGGACATTTGAATGGTCCAAGAACAACTCAAAAAAAAAAAAAAAAAAAAGAATGGTGATATCAGAATAAAGTACTGAGAGAGAAGGGACCAACCATAGTTACCTGCAGCCAAAGTCATCTCGACAAATGACACTGGCAAACCCCTAAGTGCCAAGATGCCTAGTGACTTGGAAGCATTGGGAACAATATTCAGGCTGAGATTGGAGGCAATGGAAGCGATGGAGACAGAGGAGACACAGGGGTCAGACCACAGCAGGCCTTTCTGGTCAGAGTAATGATTTGGTTTCTCTCCAAATGAGATGCAGGCTTCCAAGAGGCTTTCAGCAAACAAGTGAGATGAGCCAACTTCTATTTAACAGGATTTGTTTGATTGAAAAGAGTCCAGAGAAGAAATAAGTTTAACTTCCCTTAGACGTGGGGGAGAGGGTGATCTCTGCCCTTATGCTTGAGAGAGTTCTCCATAATACAAGGACATATTTAAATTTCTTTGGCTGTATTGATATAAAGTACTGTAAAACTTGGATTTAAGAAATCAGGACTCAATTATTTCACAGCCTAATATGCAGGGTTCGATGCATGCTCTGTCGCATGCACTTTTCAGATGTCCTGAGAACATATTCTTGCCTTTTAAAGTGCATCAAACAAAAGTTGACCTTCTTTAAATGCCATCAAGAGCGGCGGTTTGGCTTCTGTAGCTGTAGGTACGGCCGCTGCTTTGGAGGATATTTAATTAAGAAGAATACAACATCAATCCTTTCCTCTAAAAAGCATGACTGCCACAGATAACAAAGCACCGCACCTCACTGGGGCTGGGAACCCATCTTCTTGAATCTTTTCTTGCCCTTCTTCATCTTTCTTGACATACCCATCAACTGGGCGGCATTTAAAAAATGGACACTTAATAACTAAAAGATATTATCCATCATTAATTCACATCACTCAAAATTACATTTATGCACGTTTAGACAGAAAAAAAATCCATGATGGGTCTAGGTTGTAAAGCATTGTCTTCAGTGATACCAAAATGGTGACCCTATGAGAATTATCTAACCTTCCACTCCAACCTTTGAACATGATATATAAAATTCCAGGTTCATGGCCAAGATTTCTAGCTAACTCAGCTGTATAAATTTTCACCAAAGTAGGGGTAAGCCCCCGGGTGAGGGGGTGGAGCAGTGGCAGAAGTTCATAATTATCAATCCTGGCTACTAACCCTGAACTAAAATCTACATGCCATGTGTTGCTCATTTGTCAGTTCTCTGATCGATTGCCTTTATAGCGAATGCTTTCCTGCAATCATTCTTCCCAATTCTGTACCATCCCATTGGTAGAGATGACATAGACATGGGAAAAACCATGGGAACATACAAACAAGGGATAAAACTCTAAGATCCAGAATTCTTGCATTAATATAAACTTCAAATTCAAAAAGAAAATTCAAATTCAAGCACCACTCTTTTAACCTCTTGTATATTATCGTATTCTTCCTCTGATAAACACAAGCAGAGCCATGACTAAACCAATATTGATTATCTCAATCAGAAAGAAGCACCCAAGACAGGGGAAATGTCACCAGTGAACTTTACCTCCACTCAGCCAACATTCATCCATTTGCAGACTTCACATCCTATTACAGAAAATGCATTTGTATGCTGTAGATTGCTACTTGATGAATTCTATGCTGGGAATTACTGAATAAAACAAAATGAAATGACATTTTTCTCTGGGGGGAATGGACAGAGACAACACCAGGGTGTCTGATGAATCATCGAGCGGTAGGTGTCAACTATGGCAATCCCGGTGTTCATTTTATGTGGAGCCTACACTTCTCATAGCAATTCATAATGACCACAACCAGAAATTGCATTCTTCTGAGCACCTTTGTGGGTGCTCTCTTCTGAGATACATGTGGATGAGAACCTCGAACGTGGATGCTTGTCAAAGCTGGCAGAATACCAACAGAAGAGTCCCCCAACACCACTCCCTAGCTTGATACAGCAAGATTTTTCACATCTGCATAAATATACCTTCATAAAACAGAATTCAATTTGGATTCACTTTAGAAAAAGAAAAAGAAGGGAGTCATGAAATTAAAGGAGACATTCTTAGGGGAAGAACACAAAGGCATAATAATGCCTATGTGTCTCTGATCATATAAAATAGTATCTAGCTAAATGAACTCCAGGAAATGGAAACAAGAGGGTTTTTTCCCTTCGTTTAAAAAAAAAAGTGAAGCCACTGTATTATCCAATAGTCGTGGTTATTAAACATTCAGATTGCCGATGAATTCCCAGGCCCCCACCTTTTCCGGCAATGTTATCACAGAATAACTAGAATTAATTATCCCAGAGATGATGATAATGGTGCCAATGAATTTATCCTAATTAAATGTTCTCTCGTGAAGAAAGGGCTGGAATTTAGATCAATAACGATTTAATTTTATTCTTGAATCTTTCAGGAACACTCCGTTCTTCCAACAACAATAACGCGAGGCATAGTTGTGTGTCTTTGGGACGACTGAGCAATATCTTTATCAACTTTCTGTTCACAGTTTGCCTAATCCTCTACTCCACGAAGCCCAGGTTTTATGAGGAAAGCTTGGCATGTGCATAAGTTTTGAAGATTCACGAGTTGGTGTTTGCCACCCTTTCCGCATGTGTATTTGCCCTGAGTTTGGCTAACATGGAAGAATAGTTCCATCCTATTGAGATGCAACCCTTCTTAGAGGAGCAGGGACTTTTAAGAAACACCTGGAAGCATAGTTTTTCATCCGGTGGCTTGGAATTCCTATAGATAGGAGTGACACTCGTGTAAGAGTGTCGCACACACACAGGAGTAATACACACACACAGGAAGGAGTGACACACCGGTAGATGAGACGAGAGAGAGATAATTAGAAGAATATATTTATTCTATTAAATCTCACTCCTATTTTTCCATGTGATTATTCCTAATCCCTTCCATGGCATCGGTCATGACGAGAAGACAATACATGAACATCACCAGCTAGACTAGCAGGCCTCATTCCCGAGTGCATCTAACTATTTCCAAAGGCAGCTGTTTCCACCGGAGCCAAGCGATCCAAGCCCTGTGCTCAGTCCGGGTCGCCCAGCCTTTTCCCTGCGCTCAGGGCGCGGTGCACTCGTCCAGGTCAGGGCGCCACTCCCGGAGCCCCGCGCGGGTACAGCAGGAAGCCAGTGAAGACGCTGTCGTCGTCCGCGCTGCAGTGGACACCGGTCCCTTCCAGCCACACCTGGTCCCCGGCGCCCAGGCTCAGCAGCGTGAGGAGCGAGGCCCGCTGGAGGCCCTGGCGCTGGGCTGCCGGTCTAGACGCAGCCGGCCCGGCCCTGCGGGCCACCAGGCGGACGCAGGCAGGCCGGCCGCGCACGGCCACGGGGTAGGAGAAGACGTAGACCCCGGGCACGCTGCAGTTGAACCTGCCGGTGGCGGGACTGTAGTCCCCGGGATCGTTGTGGAGGACCCCGTCGAATCTGATGGGGACGTTGGCGGGAGGGAACGGCTTGGATAAAACTGCGCTGAACGCAGACCGGGGCGCGAGGGGCCGCTCGCCCATGGAGCCCTTGAAGCCCCGCGCCCCCTTCTTCCCGGGGGGGCCCCGGGCCCCTTTGATCCCAGGCTCACCCTTGGGCCCCGCGGGTCCCCTGGCGCCCGGGGAGCCCAGCTCGCCTCGGTCGCCCTTGGCGCCCGTTGGACCCGCAGCCCCGGGCCGGCCGGCTGGGCCTCTTTGGCCTGGGAGTCCCGCGTCTCCTTTGCTCCCCTTCTCTCCTCGGGGCCCCGGCTCGCCCTGCTGCCCCGGCCCCCCGCTCTGCCCGGGGGCGCCGCCCGCGCCCGGGGGCCCCGGGTCGCCCTTCTCGCCCTTGGCGCCCCGCGCACCCTGTGCTCCCGGCTCCCCGCGCGCGCCCGGGGCGCCCACCGCCCCCGGGGCCCCCGGGTCGCCCTTGGTGCCATCCCCACTCGCGGCCCCCGGGAGGCCCGGCTCTCCTCTCTCTCCCGCCGGCCCCGCGCTGCCCTTCTCGCCTCGGGGGCCGGGTGCACCTGCCGGGAAGGAGAAAACCGGGGCTCAGGGCGCTGCACACTGTGGACCAGGCCGCAGCCCCCGCCGCCAGCTCACGGCCCGGCCTGCGACCCTGACCCCAGCTCCATAAATGGAGCCTCAGTGACCCGCACAAAAAGGAGCGGGGGGGGGGGGGGGGGGACATGGATCAGCTGCAAAGTACATTCCTAAAAAGCCCAAAACCCTGAGTCCAAAACCCAGTACTACCAATAGCAATGATACTGACGATGATGATGATGATCATGATCATAATGATGATGATGATACAGAAACTACTAACTAGGACCCAGACACCCTGCCATTAAACGCAATTAGCAATTGATAACCTGTCATCATCTCAAAAGGGGTAAAGTTGATGCTTCCACGAAAACAAGATCTCGTATTCAGAACCCATCTATTCAGTGCTCCTCTTTTTGTTAAATTTTAAGATGATGAAGAATATTAGAAGGCTGGGGTGTAGAGAGCCAGCCTGGCGAACTTGGGGCCTCTACATCCAACCCCCAGTGCCGCCAATCCATCCATCCACCCAGGGTTATGAGGACTATGGTCTGCGCAAATTCAAAGCCCTACGGGCACCGAAGTTGAAGAGTGGAAATATTCAGGCCTTGTCGCCTGAACATCTGGATCAAAGAAGAAACGTTGCCTGATCTCTGAACAACTAGACCCACTTGTATTGTCCACTAGCTACCTAAGGAATGGTGGGGCTTTCTCTCCATCACACCGTGCAAGCAGGAAGAGGATAGGAGGATTTGCTGCAGCGCCACCGCGCGCAGTGCATGTGTTGGGTGTGTTACCTTGTTCCCCAGGCTTTCCTGGGTATCCTGGAACTCCACTTGCTCCTGGGTCCCCACGTTCTCCTTTGAGTCCTAAAATGGTAGCAAGATCCATGTTTTTACCGATTAGGACATAGCTAACCCTTCCCACAGCCATGTCACATTCCGGTGTTTCTTTTACCCAAGTTATTTCAAAAAAGAAAATACTGTGCCTCTGTACAGTACCTTTACAATACAAAAAAAATAAAAAAGGAAAGAAAATAGTGTGCAAAAATGGATTCATAGAGAGTCGGGAGTATTTCATTCTTACTCATGGTAAACCATTTCAAGGAGATTTGGAAAGAATGCCAATCCTTCTGTCTCTGCCTGTGGCTACTCACGGCACTCACTGAGTTCACAGCACCTCCCATGCTGGGTGTGTGAGCACTTATGTTTTTACTATTATGAATTTTGATGGTAGTTACAATGTCTTTTTTTTTCGTATGCCCCACGTGCCCGAAAAATAATGCCATACACGATACAAATTTAAACACCGAATATAATATTCTACAATTGAGACAAAAATCTCAATTGGCTGAAACTAGTCATTAAAACTCATCCAGGAATGGAAATTTTTCCTTGGCATAAGAGCATCAAAGGAAAGTCAATTTGCATTACATGTTGGAACATTTTTTTCGTACTCTGCTCGGACGAATTACAGCACTGTGAGAAATTGTATTTGAAAAACAATGAAAGCACTGGAATTTCACTTATTTGCTATATTTCCATTAAATGGATTCTTAAATCGAGCTTGACTAAAAGCTAATCCTGTGACAAAGCAGCTGTCCTGTTGCAGACTTAATTGTCAGTGGCAGTAGCAATAATAACAATAGATCATTGCATTTAGAATTTACTGTGCACCCAGTATTTTCCCAATATCTTAACATTTTTAGTGTAGTTTGTATTTAATAAAATTTGCACTTGATGTTAATATCAACAGTTAGATAGCAAGGAAGCTCATATAACAGCATATTTCATCAATTGGAACATTTGAATTTAGCAACTTTTATCACCCCCTCCCCTTCCAAATGTTTGTTCTTTATATTTTTGTTTTGATTTGTTGTGCTGGTCCTGGGGCTTGCACTCAGGGCCTAGGCACTGTCCCCGGACTTTTTTGCTCAAAGCTAGATCCCTGCCACTTGAGACACAGCTCCACTTCTGGCTTTTGGGTGAGTAATTGGACATAAGAGTCTCTAAATCTTCCTGCCCAGGCTGGCTTTGAACCTCAGTTCTAAGATCTCAGCCTCCTGAGTAGCTAAGATTACAGGCATGAGTCACTCGCACCTGACAGGCTGGCAGTATTATCATTGCTTTTTAATCACAGAATAAATTGAAGTATGAAAAATATTTACCTTGTGCATGAACGTGACTGCATACAGCCTTCCTGGGAATCAATTTTTCCAAGGTATAATAAGATTAACTTGTGTGTATCTGTGTGTGTGAGAGAGAGAGAAAAAGAGAGAGAGAGAGAGAGAGAGAGAGAGAGAGAGAGCACGCACCAGTCCCAAGGCTTGAACTCAGAGCCTGTGCACTGTCCCTGAGCTTTTCTGTTCAAGAATAACACTGTAACACTTACACTGCAGTTCTACTTCCGCATTTCTGTGGGGTGGTGGGAAACATATTGGAGATAAGAGTCTCAGGGACTTTTCTGCCCAGACTGGCTTCTAACCCCATTCCTCAGATCTCAGCTTCCTGAGTAGCTAGGATTACAGGCATGAGCCATCAAAACCCAGCTATGATTAACATCTTTTTCAACATTTTTTTGGGGTCCAGTCGTGGGGCCTGAACTCTGGGCCTGGGCACTGTCCCTCAGCTCTTCAGCTCAAGGCTAGCGCTCTACCACTTGAGCCACAGCGCCACTTCCGGCTTTTTTCTTTTTGCTTATGTGGTGCTGAGGAATTGAACCCAGGGCCTTGAGCATCAAGGCAAGCGCTCTACCACTGAGCCACCTTCCCAGCCCTTTTTCAACATTTTTGTCTGGGTAAAAAAGATCCTAAGTCACTAAAAGTGATAACAAAAAAATAGGCTCTCCCCAATTTCACAAGACCAACTAAAGAAATTCCACTGGTCACTTGTCAGTTTTCTAAGTAGCTAGCTGTTCTCTTAACACTCCACATAAAATATAAAATTTGGAACTTTACCTATTACACCATCAGGAAACTAGATAAAAGTATTTTAATGTAAATACTTGTTCAAAAGGTTTTCAATTCACCATCTATTTATGAGCTAAATGCATCTTGATCAATTTCACCCCTCCCATCATCCTCCCCTACCATATGGATGTATTTTGAAAGGTACAAACTCTAACTAGAAGTGAAGGACCAATACTATTTTCGCTCTGTCAGTAATCAAATGTGAACTATCAGCTGGGAGCTGCTGGCTTGCACCTGTAATCCTAGCTATTCGGGAGGCAGAGATCTGAGGATCGCAGTTCTAATCCAGCCCAGGCAGGAAAGTCTGTGAAGCTTTCACCTCCAATTGCCCACCTGAAGACAGGAAGTGGAACTGTAACTCAAAATGGTAGAGTGCTAGCCTTGAGCAAAAAAAAAAAAAAAAATTCAGTGACAACACCCAGGCCCTGAGTTCAAGCTCCACATCCAACAACAACAAAAAAAGTTAATCTTCACCTGCAGAGTAATTTTTTTTTCTGTCAACCTCATTTAAGGAGTTTAATTGCTTGTACAGAATTTACTCAGTCAAGAGAAGTGATGAATCAGAACTCAGTCATTCAACCCAGTGTTTTCTTTCATTCTTTTCTTTTCTTTCTTTTGTCCCTTTTATTTAACTTTCAGCCTTAACTACAAGTGCAAGCTAAGTCTGGAAGTAAAGTAAGAATTACCACTTTCCCCAGACCGGCTGAATGAATTTCTACTTTTGATCCCTCTTCAAAGAATCTTCTTAAGAACCTCATCTCATGATGGCTCCTGGTATTTTCTTCGACTTCCAGAAGTCTGGCTTCCAACACATATGAATCACTGGGGAGGCTCAGCCTTCATCTGTATTTCACAGGGTTTTCTGCTCACATCATTTAGTCACAAAAGGATTAAATGTTTCCATGAATGGAAATTGCATAATGGACAAGTGTGAAGCGGCTGGCTCTTTCTTGGCTTACCATTTTTGGAGCAATTATTTCACACTGAATATGAAGCCGAGATGGCAGGTGAGATATTGATGATATTAAGTCTCTGTTGAAAACACTGAATTTGATGGACAGATGGCATTTCTACCCATGTCAGTATTCACTGTCCTGTGAACCTCTAACCCTCCTTCAGTACCTTCTAGCACTGACACAGAGGGCTTTCCTGGGACACAAATCCTCCTTACTGATATTCCTCTGGAATTACAGGATTTCTGAGCTGGAAAAGATCTATGAAAGCCCTCATTGCTACAAATCTTCTTTGATAATAAACAAGATAGAGATAAATGGCAGGTCTATTTTCCTCAACTTCCAGGCAACCTGAAGGGATGAGTCCAAAGTCACTATTGTAAGCTTGATGTGTTCACTTTAATCCAATTCTCTGCCTACCACTGACACTGCCTTTGATTTCAGGGTGAGCCGAAGGATATGTCAAATTCATCTCAGCAAGCAGTCTTCCTACTTAAACAGTATTCGAGAGGATTGCTTGGTCTAGTTAGTTCTATCTAGTATGAAAATAATGTGTAAGAGCCTGTTTGGTTTACTTAGAGGAGGACCCTTCTCCAGAGACTATATCTTGTGGTTTGAAGTCCCTGGCTCAGAAGGTTGTAAAGGGATGGAAAAGATATGCATGAGTCTGTGTGAGTGTGTGCCTGTGTGTGTGTGTGTGTGTGTGTGTGAGAGAGAGAGAGAGAGAGAGAGAGAGAGAGAGAGAGAGAGAAAGAGAAAAGAGAGAAAGAGAGAGGGAGAGAGGGAGGGAGGGAGAGAGAGAGAGAGGGAGGGAGGGAGGGAGAGGGGCCTATCGCTGTTTAATTTTCCCAATTGGCATTTAGAAAGTTAATCATTTATATGAAATCAACTCCTAATATGCTTTGGTCAATTCTTTCTAGTTTTTAAAGATGGACTTATTTTTGAGAATCTAGGTATTTACTTAGCAAATCACTTTCCTTAAAAATGATTATATATACCAGGCACTGGTAGCTCATGCCTGTAATCCTAGTTACGGAGGAGGCTGAGATCTGAAGATCAAGGGTCAAAGCCAGCCAGGGCATGAAAGTCCATGAGACTCTTATCTCCAATTAATCACAAAATTATTTTTTAAAGCCGGAAGTAGAGCTGCAGCTCAGGTGGTAAAGAGTAACCCCTGAGCTAAAAAGCTGAGAGACAGCGCCCAAGCCCTGAATTCAAGCCCCAAGACTGGTACATGTGGACACACATACACATACACACACACACACACACACACACACACACACACACACACACACACACACACTGATGGTGTAGAAATCCCTTAAGCATGGACATGAGATGAATTACCTACCCTTCTCTCCTTTCTGGCCTTTTGAGCCTTGGGGCCCACCAATTCCTGGTGGTCCTGCGACCCCCGTATCACCTGCCTCCCCTTTAGAGCCTAAAAATGGGGTTTTAAAAACCATCAGATTAGAAAAAAAATCATCTTTTGAAATTCATTAGTTCACAGCAGTCATTTCATTGTCACCTCTAGCTGTCAAGGTCCTAATGATAAAACCTGGTGACGATACACTCTCCCACAGTTGTAAGGGCAATATTTTCGCCTGCTTCGCAGTGCTGTAGTACCTGAGGAGATAACTTGAGGCCATTAGTACTTGTCACTGTGTTCGTAGCAGAGATCCAATGATTCGGGGAGAGGCACTACATCAAACAAGAAGAAAATGATTATCTGACACTTCCTCACCTAGGAGCCAGCCTTTCGGCTTGGAAGTCAAAGCACACTACTTAACGCTTTTAGATTTCCCGATGGCTAGCTGATTCACTGATTCAGAGTCTCTCTTCTGAGACCTCCTGTACACCACGCCAACCAGCCAGGTACAGGGAAGCAGCTGTCAGCCTGTCAGCAACCCCTGCCCCAGGAGCTAAGAGTCTACTGATGGTCAGCATTCAACAAATAACCCCAGGACCAGGCTCTAGTGAATGATTCAAAGAACAACAGGAAAACCTGCATGGTGAGTTACAGTTAAAATCTTAACTAGCGGGGCGCTAGTGGCTCACACCTGTAATCCTAGCTACTCAGGAGGCTGAGATCTGAGGATCGCGGTTCAAAGCCAGCCCGGGCAGGAGAGACCGTGAGACTCCTATCTCCAATAAACCACCAGAAAACCGGAAGTGGCGCTGTAGCTCAAGTGGTAGAGCGCTCGCCTTGAGCTGAAGAGCTGAGGGACAGCGCCCAGGCCCAGAGTTCAAGCCCCACGACCGACAAAAAAAAAATCTTAACTAATGTATATGTATCGAATCAGAAGATACTCTCCAAGAATGTGGCACTAGGCAAAGCTTTAATAAATGACCTGAGATTTCCTGAAGCAAGAAATGAAGAAGCAATGACACCCAGAAAGATGAGTGTAGAATAGACCAGGGTGTTTTTAAACAACTAGAGGAAACCATGAGGCAGGCTGGGGCTGAGGGGGTGGAGGGGGGCCCAAGGGAAGGAGGAGGGACACACTTGGGCATTCTTGTTCATTCAAGCAATCCAACTTCCTGCCAGTCCACGTGGGGCCCCACAGGGACCCTAAACTAAGACAATAATTCTTTCTTCAACTCCCAGCCCTATTTGGAACATAAGAATTACTTCCCAGTTGGAACAATTTTAGGCTAGTTTCATTGAAAGTTAACCATACCTGTAAACACGCTAGATGAAATTCGAAACTTCAGTCTTAATTATTACAATTAAGATGGATGGAATGGAGAAAATTACATCCACCAGAATTCCTCTTTGCAAGTATGCTGTATTTATTTGAAAGAGAACCTTTAATTAGGTGCTTGATATGGAGGCTGAGGCTGTAGGCAGACTCAGATAATGGAAGGCCCATGTCTGAAAGGGGGAATTTCATGAAGGGGAGGGTAGCCCGTCTGGAAATATCACGGTAAATTTCCTTTGTGCAATCATCATGTATTCACAAACATAGGAAAAATTACTGTTAAAGGGGTTACCTAGCAAGATACTCAGTTCAGTAAATAAATAAACCAATACCTAGGTGTGGATTCATCCATACCCTCAGAAGGCACTAATGCATTCATTTAGCTATTCAAACAGAAATTAAAACTTTTTCTTTCTCTCAATCACCTTTTCTCCTGTTTCTGAGGCTGGATACTATAAATATAGGAAATGAGATGGAGAAAAGGAGACAAGAGATACAGTAGCAAATTTTTAAATTCTAAGAAATAAAGAAAATCTAAAATATATAGGGGGAAAATCACTGCTATGTTTGTGTGTGTGTGTGTGTGTGTGTTTTTCAACACTATGTTTTTCAACACAATATATTAGAGAAAAATGAATTAGACTACACAGATTTATATCTAAAAACATGAATTATAATGAATTTAATATTACATTTGGAGAAGAAGGAGAGAAGGAGAAGAAGGAGAGAAGAAGAAGGAGGAGGAGGAGGAGGAGGAGGGAGAGGAAGGGTAGGGGGAGGAGGAAGAGGGGGAGAGGTAGGGGGGAGGAGGGGAGAGGGAGGGAGAGGAGGGGAGGAGTGGGGAGATTGGAACAAAGAACAAGATAATCCTTCACATTTCACTGTGCTATGCCTCCTCCCCAGAAGCTTTGAGGTGAGCAAATTTGACTGTGATCTCTTTGTGTGTGTGTGAGAGAGAGAGAGAAAGAGACAGAGACAGAGACAGAGACTGAGGATTGAACTCAGGGCCTCATGCATGCTAGTCAACTGCTCTACCACTTAAGCCATTCTCCAACCCTTTAGTTCTTTTCATTTTCCCTCTGAGATAGGGTCTCTTGCTATTTTTCCTTGGGCTGGTCTCACACCAGTGATCCTCTTGCCTTTGTCTCCTGAGTAGGAGATTACAGATGTGTGCCATCATGCCTCATCTAGATTTACCAAACACTGCCTGAAGTGCAGTCAAGTTACTAGGTGAGACATGACCATATTTTTATCATTTTTATAAAGATCAGAACCAATGTGCTTCTCAACTATTCCTGACATGTGTAAAAATGTAGAAGTCTAAGTTTAAATAGAATATTACTTTTGCTAGCTATTAGATGCACCTCACATTTTCATTTCAAAACTTGATAGAGCAAGACTAGCAACTTTTAAATGTAGCTCATATACAATGTTTACGGTATGTAAATGTGTGGTCATAGGACCAAGGACTGAAAAATTAAAAGAAATTAAAACAGTAGATTGGAGTAAGGTTTCTTTCTTTTTCCCTTTTCCCTTTCTCTTTTTCCCTTTCAGGTTTTTACTGGATTTCTAATGAGAAACAGAGACAAAGAGAGGAAAAAGTGATGTCTTTTAAAAATATGAGTAGGGAAAAAAAAATATGAGTAGGGGCTGGGAAGGTGGCTCAGTGGTAGAGTGCTTGCCTTACATGCATGAGGCCCTGGGTTCAATTTCTCAGTACCACATAAGCAGAAAAGGCTGGAAGTGGTGCTGTGGCTCAAGTGGTAGAGCACTAGCCTTGAGCTGAAGAGCCCAGGCCCAGGCCCCATGACTGACATATATATATATTAGTAAATCTGGAACAAATCTCTCTATGAATACCAAAAACAATGTCCTGTCATTTCAGGCTCAGCATATCCTAGAAGATAGGCCCACTCTCCTACTATGGGTACGTAAAAACATAAAAGTAGTTTATTGAAGCCGGGCACTGGTAGCTCATGCTTGTAATACTAGCTACTAAGGAGGCTGAGAACCAAAGAACCCAGTTCAAAGCCAGCCCAGGTAGGAAAGTTCATGAGACTCCAAGTAACCACCAAAAAGCCAGAAGTAGAGCTATAGTTTAAGTGGTAGAACACTAGCCTTGAGCAAAAATAGCTCAGGGACAACACCTAGGTCCTGAATTCAAGCCTCAGGACGAGACAATAGACAGACAGACAGATAGATAGATAGATAGATAGATAGATAGATAGATAGATAGATAGATAGATAGATAGATAGATAGATACTGACCATTTGTTCAGTCAGCACATCGAGTTCTTGTAGGAACTATTGCATTAGCAGTTCTATGAAGTAGATATCATTTACCGTGTTAGAAAATGAGAACGAAAGAAGTAATGAAGCTTTCCCTAAGCTAGTAATAGATCCAATGTTCTTTGCTCTGGAACATGCTGCTCCAAGAAAGAACCACTCAGACTAAGACCCATGAACTCCCCAGCAAGTCTCAAAACATTTGTTACAGAGGAAAGGCTGAACTCCATATGTTTATCATTTGTATAAAGATCAACCACTGCGGCAAATCTACCCCTGGGTTCAACCAACGTCTGGGTGTTTGAGACTCCACAGCCTTAGGAGAGAGTTGAATGAGCAGCTGGGTGTCGTGGACCAGGCCTCTGGGTTTTTCAGCCGCACACAGCTTGCCAGACAATAAAACTGAGCGAAGCTCTGGTCAAAATGACTTTTCCCATCTCATTACAGTTTCAGTATTATGTTAGCAACCCTGAAATCTAATGCCCCAGGCCACTGTGCATTCTTTTTATGCCTTAATCCAATTCTGCATAAATGCTGAGTGAATTTCTCGAAGGATCCTGCAGTGGGATGAGATGAATCAAACGATTAGTAACAATGCCTAATTACTGATCTTATGACTAAATTCATCAGACAAGACACAGCAAGCATGTGTGTGTGTGTGTGTGTGTGTGTGTGTGTGTGTGTGCGTGCGTGCGCACGCTTAGGATGGTAAATTTGAAAATTACATTCTAATTTTTATTTTGACTGCTCTACTAGATGACATGCAAAAGTCAAAAATTTGAAATAAAACAGTAGATTCATTATATATGCATTAAAGACATCTGAATTCTTGTGCGTAGATGTGCTATCCTGGAGCTTGGACTAAGAGCCTGGGTGCTGTCCCTGAGCTCTTTCATTCAAGGCTAGCATTCTACCACTTGAGCCACGGCTCTACTCCCAACTTTTTGGTGGTTCGTTAGAGATAAGAGCCTCACAGACTTTCCTTGTCTGGGCTGGCTTTGAACCACAATCCTCAGATCTCAGCCTCTTGAGTAGTAAGGGTTACAGGTGTGAGCCACCTGCACCCAGCTTGACATGTGAATTTTGTGAACTATATAACCACAGCAATCTATGGAGATAACTGCAAGACAAAGGCACCATTTTGATCTAAACTCTATCCAAGACTTCCTTGTCTACCGTACAGACTTGTAATTCTAACCACATATACTCAAAAAATAAAAATAAAAGTCCATCAGTTAGCATCTATTTTACCAAGCAATAGACCCTTTTTTAATTGACCCTTTTTAAATCAGCCTTCAATGAAAATATTATACTAATAATAAATGTGTGAATCTTGAGGAAGGACAGTACCAGAGTCGAGTGTGTAGCCCCAGACTTTGGAATCTAATGCATACTGACCAGTGATGGACACGTCCACTCATATCTGTGCCCCCCCCCCGTTTGGCAGACGCCACCAGCATACCTGTAGCCACTGTCCTCTGGGACTGTGGCTGTGATTGTTCAAAATGTTATCATATTTATTTTAATCTTAATACTTATTAATAACACACATAAGGGCCACCTGGGCCCATACCCAGTCATGAGCGTGACAATGACACCCTTGAAGCAGTTCCACCCCTCCACCCACCTCTCCAAGGCTGCACAGGGGAGAAAAGAGGGCCCTGGATATTTTCAAATACCTGGATTTCCAGTCTTCCCGGGTTCTCCTTTCTGCCCAGTGACAGGTGAGCAGCAGTGACAGCAATTCCAGAGGAAATCAGCTGGGTCCGGAGTGACGTTTGCAAAGGGAAAGGGCGTAGTGGAGGCCCAGGGCGAGCCCAGGGTAGAAGGGGCGATGGTGGGCTCAGCCACTCCAGCAGGGTTGGTGGGGGGGAGTTCCTCTTCCCCCTGAGCAGGACCCCTGGTTGGCTTCGGGCCCTTGGGGAACTCTTTTCCCTCAGATATCTTCATAAATTTGGCATGTGGTGTGGTCTTCGCTATTGTGTCCATACCAGCAATAACCAAAACCATTAAAATGGTGCAAAGCCAAGAACACACAGACATTTTCGATGCTGGAAGGAAGATAGAATAGGAAAATACACGCAAATTACTTGAGGTCCTAATGAAACCACCAAATGACATAAATGCATGATTATATGAGAAAAATAAGTAAACCATAATCGTGAACAGGATGCATAATATAGAATGATATATTGTGGGTGTTATTTTAAATGTTAAGTGTGTACTTGAATCCTAACCGAATATTTTAGATACCTAAAGTATTTCTTATAAGGATCACTTTGCTTCCGCTCTCCTTCCTGCTTGCTTTTTCCATGTAACATGCTCTAAAATGGTGCTCTCAATCATTCCAATGATCTTGCCAAATAGCAAACATGATCTATGATAAATGCAACATGACTTAATAGCTCCTATGCCCTGTGGAAAACAAATATGTATAATTTCCTGACTGACCTCACTCCGATTTATAGGAATCAAATACATTTGTATTAGAGGGAGATGAAAAATATCGAGCTAAATACTTTATTCCAGCAAACTCAATTATTTTTAGAGAAAATACTGGTGAAGTAGTCCTTAAATCTACCAGGGTTAATGTTCCTGTGGGACAGCCCTCATTCAGGATCTATTATAATAAATGGAGAGGGAGACAGTAAAAAAATCATAAATTTGAATCTTTGCTCTGTGCATAGATTCTTTGCACACTGTTTAATTCTCCAACTCTTTGCTTTAGAATTTAGGGAAATTTTCTGGAGGAAAAAAAAAGTCACATTTTCCTTGGCATTATTTTAATGAGGGGAAACTACGATGATTCTGAAAAAAAGTCACATTTATCTTAGTATTATTTTAATGAGGCAAAGTATGATGATCCTTAATAAGGTTTTTTTTAGCAATGTCTGAGGTAATAAAAAATATGATTCCTAATGAAGCAAAATTGTGACAATTCACAGAATTCCATTCCCTATTAACTCCCAGCCCTCGGGTGACTGCTAACAGCTAGCAAGATTCTGGGTTTGTATTTTAAGATACAAGGATGGAGAAATTAGTATGAACAATAAATATCATACAGGGAATGAAAATAAGATAGGAAACTAAAACCTTCCCACGCATGCACAGCCCCTGCCTCCAATAGGTTCCTTATTTTATCAATCCGATTGGTTCTCAAAATGCCTGTGCCAGGCTGACATCACACTTCTCACCTTTGAAGATGAGGCAAAAGGTACCAAAGGGTTATATGCTTTGCCCAAGGCCACAGAAATATGGACTTAGGACTTAACGCAAGGTCTGCTTAATGTCAAAGTCTAAATGCTTTCCTACCAATCATACCCCACACGAGAATGGAATCATAGCACAGCAAACCCAAGGGAAGCTCAGTGGAAGTGAGCTACGGAGCAGACAGACATAAATCAGAACCGCCGAGAAGAGACAAAGATAGGACACTTCATCTGCAGATTCACAGAAAAAACCAGCACCGTTGGCTTTTCTTTGAGTTAGTTTTGCTACCACTGTCATCCATTCAACTGAATCTGAGGTATCACAAGCAGTGAGAAATTATATGCCAGGATGCCACACAGGCTACGAAAGAGGAATGAGAGAAGAAAATGTGAAAAGCATTCTCTCTCTCTCTCTCTCTCTCTCTGCCTTTCTCTCTTTCTCTCTCTCTCTCTCTCTCTCACATACACACACACACACACACACACACACACACACACACACAAACATCACCCACCACTCAAAAGTGAACACACAAAATGGAGTTCCCATGTGTCCTCCTGCTAAACCCAACTCTGGCAAAAACTGACAGCAGACTATTATTTGAATATAAAATAACAGACCTTTCGTTCATTTGTACAATTGCACTCACTAAAGTGTCCATTTGTTCAACACACATTTATTTGCCCATCTAAGAAGTTCTATGTTGTAACGTTCATTTTTCGACCTAACGTCTTGTACATCTCATTGTTGCAATGGATCCACCTGTATCCCTTATTTAAGCAATTTGTTTTTTCCCTTCCCTTCCACAAATTATACCAACATCAAATACAGTGAAAGCAGGGGTTATACCATGGGAGGGGGACATACAAAGCAACAAAGAAATCATCTTATAAATATGTTAGAAACAAAAGCAAGAAAGAAAAACCGTTTGAGTCCTTATCTTGGGGTTCATTTCACCTAACATCAACTTATCTGACCATTTCTTCTGGGGGAGGCAGGGTTGAGGGGGGCACAGGGGAGGAGGGGGTAAGGGAGGAGATGGGAAAGGATGGTAAGGGGAAACAAAAGAGGAGATAACAATGCTTGATAAGACATGTACTCATTACCTTGCTCATGTAATTGTAACCCCTCTGTACGATATTTTCACAATAAATTTTTTTTAATTTAAAAAATTTTTAAAAAGAAGTTCTATGTAACGTCCTAGAACCAAAAGACAAGTAAAACTGACCCCTTCCCTAAGGATTTTTTGAGCTATAACTATGAGAAGTGCTTCAGATAGAGAGAAATCAGAGAGCTGGCAGAAGACCACAAGTGAAACACTGCTTGTGTGAGCACAGAGTAATCCACAAGACTAACTAGCAGTAGCATTTTTTTTTGTCAGTTGGTCGTGGGGCTTGAACTCAGGACCTGAGCGCTATCCCTAAGCTCTTTCACTCAAGGCGAGCACTCCAACACTTTAAGCCACAGTGCCACTTCCAGTTTTCTGGTGATTAAGTGGAGATGATTCTCACAGACGTTCCTACCTGGGCTAGCTTTGAGCCACGAGCCTCAGATCTCAGCCTCCTGAGTAGCTAAGATTACAGGAGTGAGCCACTGGCACCCAGCATTAAAGTAATGACAAATGTTTCCTATTCTGTCATTTCCAGTTGCCACTATTCCCATTTTACCTGCAGGCAAAAGACTGGGCCCTGTATATTCCAGAATCTCATGTAATGAGGGTCCCAGTTTGGTTTCTGCCCATAAGAACATACTTACGGGAAGATAGGTAGGACAGAAAGTAGAAGCCATTCTTCTCCTTCAGGAAATAGCCAGTGAAGGCATGGGTTTTGGCTGATGGGAAGTTACCTAGTGACCTCTGCTACAACCACAGGAAATACCACCTTGCTTCTGTAGGTGGCGCTCAGTACCAGCAGCAGTAGCCTGTAGGTCCTACCTTTACGACAGGAGCAATATCCTGATGGCAGGCTGAAGGCAAATCTGACAGCAAATGGCAGACCTGCCTTTGCTACGTTCTCTTCCTTCTAAATCATGCCTCCTCCATCCTCATCTCCATCTGTTAGAATACTAGGTCTTCTAAGCCTTCAAACAGACCATGCAGAGTAATTTAATTTTAATTTAATTTCCCATTGGATTCGTGTGTGTGTGTGTGTGTGTGTGTGTGTGTGTGTGTGTGTGTGTGTACTCAGCCTTGAACTCATGGATGCTGTCCCTGAGCTTTTTTGCTCAAGGCTGGTGCTCTACCACTTGTGTCACAGCTCCACTTCTGGCCTTTTTTGTGAGTGGTTGATTGTAGATAAGTCTCACAAACATTCCTGCCCAAGCTGACTTTGAACTTCAATCCTCAAATCTTAGCCTCCTGAGTAGCTAATATTACAGATAGGAGCCACCTGTGTTCGGCCTCATTGAATAAAATCCTTTCTTCCCATATTAAATCCCTTTCGATCAAGCACTATCCTATTGTCATATTTTCTTCTTCTCCATTTAATTTTGCCTCCATCTCTCCTATGAGCTCCAAGTCTGTTTACCTCTTCCTGACTCAATTTTTCTGTACTCGATTCTACGGTCTCTTTTCTTTATTTCTTTATTTACTGGATGTTTTTGAGGCAGAGTCTTGTTATGTAGCCAAACCTGCCTCAAATTCATGATCTCCTTAGCCTCCCCACTGACTGCTGGGATTACAGGCATGCATTGCCATGTCCGGCTACATTCTCTTTTTTACTTTTAACTCAACTACTGTTTACCCATTTGTATCATTATCTGTTAGACAACTGACAAAGTTTTGGCAAAAGATCCTCCCACAATGTTCTGAGTCTTAGAATTTATCATCCGTATCAGTATTTTACTTCCATTATATTCTTGATGTGAACTCCCCTCTAAAGACTTTTGAAATAATTTTATGCACAGAGATGTGTGGACCTGTGTGCATAGCTATATGGACTGCATTTATGGTGAGATTTTTTTATTCTTATACCAAGCATTTTTTATCTCCAAATCTGTGCAGTTATAAAGAATTATACAGTGAGCCTTTATGTCTGTAGCAAGCCTTTGCCATTTGAATAGCTGTTTTTAATTTTTCACAGTGTTGCATTTAAATCTATCTTACACTGTACTCTTTCTTCCTTCCTTCCTTCCCTCTTTCGTTCCTTCTTTCTTTCTTTTTCTTCCTTTAGAAGTTGCATGTTCAAGAGACAGTTCCTGAGAAGCTATTCCCTCCTGCCTGGATTCTTCTGTAAATTCAGACAAGCCAGCCTTTTAGAGTTCAGATCTTGACTTCATTCACACCGAAAGGAAGGAGGAAAAGCTTTGTGTCTACAGATTCCTGTTTCCCATTTCATTTTTTTTTTTTTTTGCCAGTCCTGGGGCTTGAACTCAGGGCCTGGGCACTATCCCTGAGCTTCTTTTGCTCGAGGCTAGCACTCTACCACTTAAGTCACAGCACCACTTCAGGCTTTTTCTGTGTATGTGGTACTGAGGAATAGAACCCAGGCCTTCATGCATGCCAGGCAAGCACTCCACCACCACCAAGCCACATTCCTAGCCCTCCCATTTCATTTTTAAGAGCAATTCCAGAGTAATTGCAATCAGCTCTGATGGGCTTTTCACACATCCCTCTGTATTGATAGATACCTCAAAAGCACCATCATTTCTAGGGTCCCGTGGGAGACGATTGTTTCCAGTGTCGAAGTAAATGATCCCATTGCAATTTTATTAAGCACATTGAATATAACATTCCATTATTCCAAGTTAAGTGTTTCTTGTGTTTGAAAAGCATGCAGTAAAAATTAAGAGAAAACATTCTCTCAGCAATTTTGTCAGATGGAAAGAACACTGGC